CCTCCTAGGACTATTCAGCATTTTCAAATGATTGAACGTTTGATTAAAACAATCCAGGCTGCATGATATTTTTTATTTTGTCAGCTAGATGAAAAATAAGGTCCTCATTCTGATCTAAGCTGGGAATTGGAGTTTGAATGTTTGCCAAATTGACAAATTAGTTTCTGAGAGCTTGCAATGTTTGTACTGACTCAATAAAACCAACCAATACAGTTTTAAATGTCATTTTAATAAATCCTGCTCAAAGGATGATGAAAATTTTACAATTACGGGCCTGAACAGATCTTAAAGGATTTGTGTTTGAACGTTCAAGTCAGCGTTACTTATTCTAACTTTGTTTCTTAAATGATAATAGCTTTATGGTCAATTCAAAACATGTTTATGACTTCTTTTGCACAAAATCTCTAACTTAAATCAATTTCAACTGGACATTTTCAGTGCCTTCCAGAATGAGCCGTTTAAGCACTTTGTCACTTAAATTGAACAAGCTGGAGCTGGCCACGCCCACTTATCTCTGCTCAGGCTGCTATAAGCTGAGATGCTCCAATAACAAGGAGGGGCTCAGAGTAGAGCTGCAGCTAGCGGCACCTCTCTCATGCAAATGAGACGTGCTGCTTTGCTAATCTTCCCAGTTGTGATGTCACAAACAGGGACTTTTTGAAACAGCATGTTTCAGGGGCATAATTTTTAGAACCAGACACTGACAGAAAATGTATGGACAAGCTTTATTTTTGTTTGGTGTGTTTATAGAGGCAGTAGAGAGCCACATGGAAGCAAAAAAAGGATGCTAAAGGTGAGTTTTGAATAAAACGTTGTCTGCAAGGTTTTTCTGGGAAACTCTGAATGCAAATGAATGGTGTAGTTGAAATTAGAACCAGCATTTCTGCTTCTGTATATCTGAGTACTCTGTTTAGTCTCTGAGGCGTTCATGTTCTTCCTCCTTCATGCGTCGCCTTCAGCTGTAGTCTTAAACCAGGCAGCTTTATCCTGAAGTGGCTGACTTTGGTGGGTGAATTTCTTCCTCTGGCGTTCCCTGGACTGTCTTTTATTACTCGGTAATACTCCCTGGAAGTTATGTGTTGGATTTGTTGCTGCAACCACCACATTGTCACATTCGTGTCTTCGGCTCAAACCCAGAGATCAGGGGAAACCACTGGCCTTCATATAAGCGCAGTCGCTCTGTGACATCTGCGTGGACCGTCATGTTGTGATGAAGGCTGGAGTGAGATATTTGTGATGCTCAGGAGAAATCCTCTGCTCTGTTTGCTGACCTCTCCACAACAAAGAACACTCCAGGTGACTCTAAAGAGGACGAGCGAAGTTGATTTGACATGAGTCATTAACCCTGGCTGGGCTGTAGTGAGGCTTATCCGGTGGACTTGCATCAGTGGAGGAGAATCAAAGCTCCTCTGTTTGAGCAAATTTATGACTGTAGAATTTCAGGATTGAAGAAATGTGCAACTTTCCATTTACAGTGTCAGTTTTGGGGTTTTGTAGAGAACAGTGAAGTTTGAAGACTTGGTTAGAGGAATCTCGTTGGGCTGTGATGTTGCCAGACGTTTTCATTTGACTGGATGATGCATATGGACCTTTTTCTATTTTTATTTCCCAATCCCTTTCCCAGATCTGCTTTCAGCATTTGTCTGTTCAGCCTTCAGTCTCGCTCCTTCTAGCAGTCGGTGTTTTCCTTCAGCTGAACTAATGAAACCTTTCTGCTCTTTATCTGGCGAAGTTCGATGAAAGCCGGAGATTGAAGCCAGGTCACTCAGACACTAGCTTACATTCACACTCTGGCAGGAAACGCAGCCCTTACACACTCATCTAATCTCTCACGTGCACGTGCAGACACAAACGAGGCACAAACACACGCACAGAGGAGAAAGCTTGCATGCTTAGGACCATAATTAGAGATCATTTACACAGATCGGGTTGAACATAATCTGGACAGCAGGTAACTGAAACTTGGTCATCGCTACTATTGGTTTCAGTGTGTGTGTGTGTAGAGAGAAAGAGACAGAAATGTATGCCAGGAAGGGAAAAGAGACGTTCACCCAGGAAACGGAGAAGGTGCGCCCCAAACATGGAGCTGGGAGATGGGAAGAAGGGGTAGGTCAAACACGAGATGGGGAAGCCTTTCAGTGACGTGCAGGGTTTGTGTTTGCTTTCCTTCTATGTTACACTGTAATCTGGTCGCCCACATCTGGCTGCACAGTCTGCTGACGAGACCATTGAGTAATTGATGTCAGTTTTATCTCTAGATTGATGAACATAATTCATTTTGTGTAAAACAGGCACAGGCTCTTATTGGCAAAGAAAGCAGCCGTTACCTGGTTTGTAACGTAATCCAGCCCTTTGTGTGTTGTGTAGAAGTCGGTCAGTGGATCTGTTTTGCTTTTACTCAGATTCTTCTTTTTGATCTTTTAATTGTTGAAAAGTGGGTCAGGACTGGACGTTCGGACGGATGCAAGCAACCAGTGAATCGTTTCCAAACGTTGTTTGAAGGAAAAATCTGATTTAAAACTTTTTCTGAAGGTTTGAGCTCCTTTCTGCTTTTCTTGGCATCATTAACGCAAACTTTGAGCAAGAAAAAACTGTGATGCAGCGTTTTGAAAACTCCAGTTGTTGTTTCTGAGATGTGGATTTCTGAAGGAGCAAATCAAAATGGAAACAGACTGTAGTTTTTTTAAAGTTTCTCAAGATTTTAAGTAAATCTATACCTGTTATTGGTCATGAAATGTAGGAATTTGCTGCTGTTTCTCATCATAAAATATCTTCTATCTCCTTTTCAGGATTTTCAGATAGAAATTAGGTCAATATTTAGATTGGAAAATTAATAATTTGATTTTTAACTGTTGCAGGAATAATTTACAGGAGCACTAACGGAACAAAAGTGTCCAAAGTGATAAAGGAGAGGATCTTTGAGCTCGTCTAAATGTCATGTTTTTGAACCTGAACCTGTGATCTTTGGTGCTTTGAAGTGAGAAAGGTTGAGGATGAGCGGCTGGCAGTGAGATTTCTGGCTGTTCCACAAGTTCTGGATTGTTGCCCAGAGCCGTGTCCAGGACTTTTAAAATGGGGTGGCCCATGTGGGGTACTTGTTTATTCATGGGTGGCACCAATGGTTATGCTTACTTATTTATTTATTTACACAAATTGTTTATTTATTTATTTACTTTCTAGTGAATTTTTGAGTTTCACATTGCACAGTCACCACTTTTTTTCCTCTTCATCTTCTACTTTTGTGGTAGTTAGCAAGTCACTTCTTGTTCATTACTGCCACCAACTGGAGTTGAGTGGGACTCTAAATACTATGTATGTGAATATGAAAAAATATTAAATAATATTAATACTACATGCCTGGGCCAGAAAACAAGGTGAAAGGTGCATGCAACCACGCACTATTTTGGAGTTTACAACTCAAGCCTTTTGTCGACGATGTAAAGTCAATTTAAACTGGAACTTAGTGAGGGTGGCACCTGGGGTGGCCAATCAGATTCTAAGGGTGGCATGTGCTACCCCAGGCCACTCCCTGGACACGCCCCTTGCCCCAACATGGCGGCTGCTGTTTTACATCCATGTTTGATGAAACACAACATGGTGTTAAACTCCCGCTGTTGTTGAAACAAGGTTCTCCGTGAGCTTTCCTCTCTTTCTCATCAACGTTTGCTTTTTTTCTGCCAATCAAAGCCTTTTCTACGAAATGGCCCTTGGGAAATGTTAAGTGAAAAAGCTTCTGTTTGGTTTTAACTTCTGCTCGAGAGACCGTTGGGCCCTCGGAGGGTGGTAATCATATTTTAACGGACTTCCACACACAGGCGAGGTTGTGAGGCAGTTAGAGACGGGCTGCAGGCCAGACGGACTCCAGTAGGTGTACACAAACAGACCTTTTATCACGAAAGAATTGGGCTTTGATTCAGAATTCAGCATAAAGAGTCAAAAAATGTGAAAACACACTGATCATCAGAAAAATTATATCTATGTGTCTTTCTTACGTTACAATCTATGGAAGCTCATTCCTGCCACTCTGATGAAAAATTACAACATAATTATTATTCTTATGATAATAAGATACTACCTCACATTAATGATATAGTAACTCATTATTATGAGGTAGCTAAGTCATAATTATGAGATATTTTTTATCAGAGTGGTGGCAATAGGCTTCCATAACAATCTGCTATCTGCTTTTTACGAGTAAGAAAAAACACTGAGTTGAACTGAGGATACATCTGTGAGTAGGCCTCGTATGTGTGGTCACTCAAACTGTGGTTCATGAGAATTTCAGGAATTAGGAGGCAAAACAGATGAGGAATGTGGGATTATCAAAGTGGTTTTGAGTTAACAGTTACCTCCAGCGAGTTGTTCTCATGATAAATACATTTAATTTGAATTTGATCAGCTTCCTAAAGCTAATCTGAGAAACACCTTAAAGCACAAGGATTAAATAGGGATGAGGCTCTCCAGGGTCATGCGTCAGCAATGCATCATGGGAAATATCAAGAAATTAACCTTTTTAAGCATGTTGCTCTGCTCAGCAGACTTTAGTGCAGCTCTGTTGTGGTGAGCACAAGCAAATGTAGTTCATGCAGTATTTTGTTCCAAAATAATAATTTAACAGATAAACTTTGTTCACCAAACAGAAAACAACAATAAAGCCCAATGACACGTGGAGCTGGCCTGATGCGGGTTGCCTGTTATATGAATTAAAAATTTTAATAATTAAAAACATGGCTGAGCTTGAACCAGTGAAATATTGACAACGCATTCAAAGACAGGCTGAATTTCCTGAAAAATCATTAAAACGTTTCTTTTGCTGGAGTCTGTAGAACACTCTGCATTATTGGGAGGTTTGATTAAAATAAGAAAATAAGTTTATGTCTGTACAGATGTTTTACTAGATCCTTAAATATTTGCATCTAACTTGTAAAAAAAATGTCATTTGAATGTTTCGTATTTGAAAAACAACAGGTACAATGAGTCTTTCCTTTTATTGTTTGTAGACGATTGCAGCTACCTGCCTGATGTGCTGCCTCCTCTTCCCGAAGTCCCGGACTCCGGATCGGTCCTGAGCTCCGTTGACATCCCAGGCCGCTGCCTCCGTAACCCGGCCTTCCGCCACGCCTCGTCGCGCCACTGCTCCGCCATCAGCATGGACTCCTCTCCTGACAGTGTGGATCGGCCCATCAGCTACAGCTCCACATCCTCCTCCGCCTCATCCCGGGACAGCCACTGCTCCCTAGGCAGCAGGTCCACCCTCGTCTCGGCCCCCGTCACCTTGGATCGTGACTCTGGGGCCATTCGGCTGGAGCTGGTTCCAGCAAGGCAGCTGGGGTGTGAAGAGGAAGATGACAGAAAGACTGGAAAAGAACATTCAGAAACTGAGCAGAGTCTAGATGGAGAAGAGAGGACGAGTCAGGGACCCAGGACGTATGTGGACCGCGTGGTGCAGGAGATACTAGACACAGAGAGAACATATGTCCAAGATCTACGCAGCATCGTAGAGGTATTTACCAAAAATCCACAATAACATGAAAATGAACTAACTCTGAAAAGCTCTTTTTTGGGGATTATTTCTGATTATAATTGGTCAATGTGACTTTTTCATGCAGGCAGAACATGAAAATAGTCTCCTACACCTATCTCCTTCATTAGCTTCTAATAGAAAATAGACGGTGAAACTCTAGGATTAGAAAATCCTGACGGATCTACGTCACACTGTTACTTAACATTCATGGATTCACCCATCTTGACTCATGATGGGGAACGTTGTTGTTGGTTTAGCGTCCAGGAAACAGCAGAGAACGTCTCGGCCAGTAGAAGCTAACCGTTAGCATTAGCAAGTTCACCACACAGAAAAACTCCTCCAGGCTTGTGTTAATTGCAGAGATAAAACATCAGTGTTGCAAGTCAGTTGTAGAGTCACGCTGCTGCTAGCCAATCAGAGGCAAGATGTCCAATTATCAGGAAATAAACCTCCAAATCCTTTTATCTGAAGCTACTTTCTCCTCCAGCTGAATTATCTGTGCTGATACAGGCGCTTCTGGGCTTTTATTCCCCAGAGTACGACTTACAAGGCATTCCTTCCTACGAGAGACCACTGCACATGTGTTAAATGAGTGTTCCACACCTTTAAATAAAGGTCAAATATCTAAAACCTACAACTGTACACCAAACTACCTCATATCATTCTTCATAACACCATGACACAACTAATGGGCGCAGCTGCTTCCACACAAGATGACATTGTAGGTGAAACTGGAGCATATGGTTTTGCCTTTCATAGTCCTAATTTGTAAAAATGTAAAGGAAAAAGAAGAAAATCCAGGGAAACACCTCTTTGCTGACCCCGGACCATCATTAAGACATGTCAGTCCTGACCTGACTCTTTTCAGATAGGAACATTAAACCTTTATATCCTCTTGGCGCGTACGTTTTGCTCTCATACATGACGTTCGCTGCTGGCCGCCTGCTGGGAATCCTTTAGTCCACCTGCAGGCGGGGGTTTGGCCGAGCTACATGACACCTTCACCTTTGTCCCGAATTCACAAACGCACATGTGCTGCATGCACGCTCGAGCAAATGTGCTCTTTCTGTGAAGTTGGCTTTGAACTGTGAGAACACACATTGCCTCTAGTCAGCGTTTTGAGTCTTTGTTGGGGGTTGGGTGTAGTGGTTTGCATCAAAGCTCGCTCTCCTTTCTTTAGCCAGTGCTTTTGTTTCTCTGTTCAGCTCTTCTTCTTCTTTTCCTCTAACTGAAAGGCACGGGACACATTGTGCATTCTGCCTGTACGTTTTGTGCAATTCAGTCAGTTTTGTGGGAAAAGATTCAACAACGAAGCTCAATATCCAAAGTAGGCTAGAAAAACGCTGAGCAGATCTTCGAAGCTGCTCTTATTAACTACCGGACATCATCATTTGGAGCCATTAGTGAATTGGACCACCCTGCTTTTTGGACAACTACTCCCATGGCAGAAGCAGCTCTTTCAGAAAGGACAAGCGTCTAGTCTGTCTTCGCTCATTTAATTACAGCATGAACACAAATGGGATAGATTGCGCTGATTGTATCTGTGAAGAGGTTTAAACCTCGCAGTTGCACAGCATCAGTCCAATTTATTATCACAACAGTCCTGTGTGAGTCCCTGACCAAGCTGCTACCTGCAAGACAAAATAAAGGTGCAACAGCCCTAACACAAATATTTACCCAGACTCCCCTGGGCTCACCTGTATATCGTCCATCAGCAGAGCTGTTGTTGCACTGGGCTATTTTCAGACTCACCGAGCATTTCTGTGTATTTGCTGTTTCATTTCCTCTGTTTGACCATCTCTCTGTGTGTAACGAGCCCAATCCATCATCCACAAACAACATTAGAGAGAAACCTCTGATCTAGACCTCATGACATCTGAAGTTGAGCTGGAATTTTAGAGATGATCTGTAAACACCAGATGTCCTGTGGAAATCATCAAGGAGAGAAGATGTGCACTTGTCTGGAGTTTTAGCTTCCTACCTCAATTTGAGGAAAGACTGCTTCAGGTTAATGATTAACACATGAAGGTTTCAGGTTTAGACAAGTTGCGTTTGATGCTCTGGTTGGGAGTGAACCTCAGGTGTGTCCAATGGCTGATCTGAGAACAGCCTTTTGTCGAGCTCACCGAGGCTGAGTGTGCTGAGTGATCAGGTCAGGTCAGGTCAGATCTTTGACCCCATGGCTAATAAAGCATCACCTTACGTATTACTGACTGATGGTCAACAAATTCTAAACATGACCTCCTGATGTGACCCACAGCTGAACCAACCGGCCTGTAGCGAGGATTAGCTTTGTTCCCTTCTGTAACTCAAACCGCTGAATTGTGACATTTTGTCTCTTAAATTCCGACCCAGGTGGACAAGAAAACAACTCTGGCATTTGCCGTCAGTTGCTTTAACTGAAATTAGGAATGCAACAATCAGATAATCCAACGTCTTTGAATGCATCATAGCTGAGTAGCCATCAAAGAACTGATATTTGTTGTTTAAATGCACCACTAACAGACTAGCAAGCATGGTGGAGCAAACATAGCAACTGAATTTGGCAAATTATTCAGACCCATCTAGCCACAACGACAGAAAATAGCCAACACGTTCTCACAGCTGAAGCATCAAAACTGACGATGGGTGACCAAGCGTTTGTTTTCGACGCGCGGTGCTAGAGCGCCATTTTCCGACGACCGCGGTAAAACGCACATTTCATCGACATTTAACCTCTAACCTCTTGCTATTTAACCTACCCCTCACCCCCATCCTAACTATAACCCTGTTTCTCATTCTATACTTCCTGATAACTGTGTTTGAGATAAGGAATAATGAGGAGTAAAGTTTTGAAAGAGCATGAGTGTTGAGGTTAGGGTGTGGGTGGGGGGAAGGTTAAATTGCAAGAGGATAAAGGTCAGAATTTGGTGAAATCTCCATTTTCCCACGGCAGTCGGACAACGACGCTCTGGCACAGTGCATCGGCTCCCAACGCTTTGGAAACAAATGCTTGTTCACCCTGCGTCAGTTTTCGACGCTTCGGGTGTGAGAATGTGTTGAAATAGCATATTCCTCCATCCCAAAGCACTCACTGGCAGCTCAGTCCTCCTGCAGCTGCAGTCAGTATAGGAAATGATTTTCCTCCAAAGCAAAGGAACCACACAAGCATGAACCTGCTGCTTGTTGATATCAAGTTCTACACAAAGGATGTTTTTACCCAGTTTTTCTCTCTACAACGTAATTCCTCCCTCCTATAGTTAACATACTCATGGGGAATACACAAACTAAGCGATTATGTCATTTAGGCAGTGTCATGAACCCTTTTGGTTAGCAGTAGCCTGTTTTTTTAATGTTTCTTAAAATATCAACTCAATTTATTAGAACATTTACTCTTTCTAATTCAGTCAAACGAGTCAAATTTGAATGTGCCGCATCAGCTTACGGTCAAAGGTGAGTTTTACAACTGCATTTCTCCTGACTGTATGGTCTTATGTGGCTTCTGCAAAGCCCTTAGGAGAATCAACCTGTGGATAGAGCAGATCCAAAGCAACTAGCACTTCCTACTATTAGTCAAAACTAGTTTCCTTCATGGTGGTCCTTCAGAACCTGCAGAATGACATAACCTCCATGCATTTATTATATAAAGATCTACTAAATCATCCAAGCATGAAGCAAAAAATGAAACTTGGTAACTTTATATGAATCGTTGCCTTTCTGAGTTCTGCTCCAAATGATTATAATAGATAATAAAGTGATAATAGGAACAGAAACTAAGTCAGCAGACTGGATGTGAAGTAAACAGACGTCAGACAGTAAAAAGTGAACCTCCCTCTCCTTTTCCTCTCACTGAGCCTTAAACAGCGTTGCAGGTGCATGAAATGATTTCTGGGTGTGTTTGTGCACGGTGAGTTCAGCCTGGTGCTTTTTATTACTGTCCAGATTCAGGTTATTGAGCTGCCATCAAATCCCTTTGTCCACCTGAACAATAATCCCACATGTGGCTATGCATTTGAAGTGTGTGTGTGTGTGTGTGTGTGTGTGTGTGTGTGTGTGTGTGTGCGTGTGTGTGTGTGTGTGTGTGTGTGTGTGTGTGTGTGTGTGTGTGTGTGTGTGTGTGTGTGTGTGTGTGTGTGTGTGTGTTCTCTTTGTGTACTGTAATAGCCTTTTGGTCAGGACTCGGGTAGGCAGCTTTTGGTTGCCTGCAGGAGCAGATACCGTCAGAGCTCTGACTGAGACAGACAAGCAGGAGACATTTTATAAAAGAGGCAGACGGTGCGTGATCCCTCCCAGCCTGAATATGTTGCACCAGTATCGCAGTATGGACACCTGTAGTGGCTGTGCAGATTTTACTAATGCTCTTCAAGAGGCATCAAAATTTTAGAGCTGTACAGGCAACAGTTCAAATCAGAGAGACATCTCGTCTTTGAGATCGAGGAGCCGGTGTCGGTACAAGATCGGCTCGGGGTCCTTCGACTGCGATGACGTCAAAGTACGGCAAAGCCACTCGGACAAAATACACTACTTATCTATACTGTTGGAAAGAATTTAGCTGTTTCGTTATTAAAATAATGTTTCTTAAGACGTAAGTTTGAGTTTATAATGGTATTTGTAAAATAAAACACTATATTTTATTCATAATGTTGAACTCCTCTTTGAGCACATCCCTTGAAGGGATTAGCAACACCTGTATTAGCAGGTGTATTAGCACCTGTATTAGCAACACCTGTGAAATTATATTTGCAGGAAAGAAGTGTGTCCCTTTTATTGAAGTATTTTGTGTTTAGAGTTTTTGACGTCTTGTCCATGCGTAGTTCAGGTACGCTCATAGCTGCTAGCCAAAACTCTGGAGTTAAAAGTTTTCTGGCTTTACTAAAATACCTGTCTGTACTTATTTGATTGATGGTAGTATTACTTTCTATTAGACTCCAAATGTAATCATTTGGCACGTTTCTAATTCATAATTTGTAAGAATGTAATCGGTGATATTAGCATTAGCATTCCTATGGGTTTTTCCACGTATATTAGCATTGCGCTAACCACTCGCTGCCAAATTGCAGCCTTTGCGATTAGAAAATCTCCTTTTGTCAAATCGCAATTTAATTGCACATGCAGTTAATCGTTCAGCCCTAATGTACATGCAGCTCTATGCTAAAAGTGTATTTTCAAAGAGGTAATGATGGATTTCTTTGTAAAAGTTGTCCATCTTTCCAACAGAAAGATTTGCCTGGAGCAACGTAACGTGATAACAACGTAACGTGATTACGTAATCCCGTAAGATTCATGTTCAGCCAATCAACTACTTTGACGTCATCGGCAGTCGACGGACCCCGAGCCGATCTTGCACCCGAGCAGATCTTGTACCGACACCGGTTGAGGTGGCTCGGGCATCTGGTAAGGATGCCTCCTGGACGCCTCCCTGGTGAGGTTTTCCGGGTACGTCCAACCGGGAGGAAATCTAACGGAAGACCCAGGACACGCTGGAGAGACTATGTCTTACGGAACGCCTTAGGATTCTCCGGAGGAGCTGGGGAGAGGGAAGTCTGGGCTTCTCTACTTAGGCTACTGCCCCCACGACCCGACCCCGGATAAGCGGCAAAAAAAGGATGGATGGATGGATTTTGTCTTTGCTGCTCTGCTGATGCCTAGGACGTTGTTTTTTAAGATCTCAAGCCAGTTTCTCACTGGGCTGCAGCTAGTTGGACACACGAGAAATTTTTAAACCATCATTTGGAACTTCACTTAAAAGGCAACTAAATGCGTCACGTGTATGAACGGGTCATGGGTTGGTGGTGGTGGTGGTGTGTGTGTGTGTGTGTGTGGGGGTGGGGGGGGGGGGGGGGTAATGTAACTGCAAAACGGTTGCTGCTGTTGTGCAAACTTTCTTGTTGCAATCTAATAAAAAAAAGTGTCTCCATTTGTTCTCAATTCATTATCATTTTGTCAGCAATTTGTTTACCCCCTCCCAAAACTGTCTCAGATTTTATGACACAACTGAAATTGACACCAGATGCCTGCAGCAACAGCATGGCTTTTTTGATGGTATAATTGAGAAACTTCGCAAACACTTTGAGACATTTTGGAAAGTCCTTCGAGAATGTCATTTCCAATTTGTAAACAGTATTTGCAGCCCAGTGATTTACCAGCTACAGGGTGGCGAGTAGTTGGGCGTTGCTTATATTGATGCAGTGGAATAGAGAAGTAGATCATCTGGGTTCTTCAGCCTAAATGCCACATCTTCAGATTCAAAAGGATGTCTGTTGAGTTACTGATCCATTTATTCTGCTCTGCTGCAGAACAATGGGAATGAAAATGTAGCCTGAACAGGAACATTGTTTCCGTCTCTCTCTGGTCCCTTTTCACCTTCCACTTAATTTTTGCAGGGCAGACTTTTTGGGGGTTGTAGTGTTCCCCACACTCTTAAATCTGTATGATTCCAAATTTGTTACCAAAAGTTTGTTTTTGGACAAAAGTGAAATCCAGCTAGCCTAGTGAACTAGACCAAATTCTTGCTTTGCAAAGTTTGGTCTAGGCATGCTCCATTGGAACCTCAGCAGCTCCTACCAGGATTCTGGCTAGCCAATCACAGCTCTCTAGAGGGGTTTCAAACACATAAAGAGCTGTGATTGGTCCATAATGGTGGGCCAATCATAGTGCTCTATCTGCTTAGTGAACAAATCACAGAGCTTTATCCGCTTTGTGGGCCAATCTGGGCACTCTATATGCCTGGTGGGTGGGATGATGCAACAGAGTGAAACAAGAGTATGTCACATTCATTGTCCAGTAGCATGCGGAGATCATTTGAAAGACAACGGTAGAACCCGCCCCACAACCAAGAGCCGTCAATGGAGCGTGACCAGACTAAATAATACATTTATTTAGTCTGGCTTGCCAGGCTAAAATCCAGCAGCACCAGTTATCTGTTTTTAGGGGCTGGAGATGATCGAAAGATGATTGTGTTCGGGACTGGGAAGAATATCGTAACATCACACAACTTGTTTGAGTTAACTCTGAATGAAAAACAACAAAGAAGCTTCAGTTTATGTGGAGATTTGTCTTTTCTGATTCAGTACTGTCTGTTGAAAGTGGCATTAAGCAGAGTCAAGGAAAGCTGAAAGCTGCAGAAACAAAATCAGCAAATGTAATAATGGGGTATAGATGTAAAGATGGTCTAATTTATTTGTATCTCTACAGGACTACATGGAGTGCATCAGTAACCAGTCTCGGCTGGCCCTGAGCTCCGAGGATAAAGGTTCACTTTTTGGCAACATCAGCGACATCTACCACTTTAACAGGTAACTTTAAACAACTGAGACCAAACAGAGTCTGAGCCAATTTTTTATTTCTGGGAAGGGCCTTCTTCCAGCATCCAGGTGTGTTTTCCTCCTCCCGCACCTCCTCTGCACTTGTGGTTTCTAAACCCAGAAGATGTGGCTAGCTGAGCAGTGTTCATGGTGATCTGGAGACACAAACATTTTCTCCCACCTATTCATTTCCCAGCAGCTGCACGCTGACAAACTGACCAGTGAAAGGAAACACAAGGCGGTCAGAATGACCTCACAGTTTAACCGTGAAACAATAACTTTTACAGCGTTTCCACACAGCTAAACACAGCTACCCATGGAGGCTGGATATTTCAATTCATGGAAGTTTCCTTATTGTTTCGTGGTCAATTATTCATTCCCCAAAAGCATCCTGAAATTCAAAGGAATTCTAATATTTGTTTATCCTGGCAAGCAGGGAAATTAGGTCTTAAATCCTACATAATTTATTCTTTTTTTATAATTCTAGAACTTTTTTTTACTGATTTCTGGGATGTCTGTTTCAGGGATCTTCTTCACGATCTTGAGAAGTGCAATGCAGACCCGGTGGCCATTGCAGAGTGCTTTGTCTCCAAGGTAGATGGTCTTTTTTACGTCCATTCATTTTACTTAAAGCAACAAAGAGAGATTTCTGATGCCCTACTGGTTGAAAGTGGAATTAAAAACCACCCTGCTACTACAGCCTGCCGTAGCTAGCGCTAACAGCAAGCTAACACTAACGTGAGGCAACTATTACTAAAATAAACCACGAAGTAAAAAGATCCACACTGCTGAACAAAAACTATTATTACTTACAAGTCTGGTAGTTCATGAATTAGTAGCCTTTTTTTAGCTCCCTCAAGCTATTGTAGGCTGCGCCGATGCTCACTCCGGTTTTAGCCCTTTTCTTCATCTCCAAAGACAACGCTCTCTTACGTTTACTTCCAGGTTGCACCATGATACCAATAGAAAAAGCAAACTTCTTCTTTTTCCTCTTTTTGTGGTTTTACTGCTGATCGGCAAACTGAAAAAGCTAGCTGCTAGCATAAAAGCTAACAGCCTTAAAGCAGGTAAAGAGCACCCTCCATAGGGCATCTACCCACTAAACAAAACTATCTAGTGCGGTTTTTGGTCAGCAGAGGGCTACAGAGTGGTGTTAAATATAAAACTGGTCAAGTTTCTAACTCAATCCCTGAGATCAATGTTAAAGCTCTATCTTAAAGTTTAAAAAATGGTTTAGTGTTACTTTAATGGTGCAAAATATTTGTACAACTATTCTGTTTGAGATTTTATCCCGATTATATTTTTAAAGTCATGCAAGTTACATATCAAAATATGAGGTTAAATCAGGAATAATGTGCTTATGAGTATAGTGACATTTTGAATAAGCTGACAGGAATTTCATTAGCGAAAGCAAGTGAGGAAACTCCACCTCCTTTGGAGCTCAGATACTGTACAAACTTTGTGATTGAATTTGCGTTGATTTGTGTTTTCATAGATTTTGCACAATCACTCATGAAGGTTTTGATTGATTTTGGAGATTTTGAAAGCTCAGCTGACTAAAAGCTTCCAGAACCTTTCAGAGCAAAATAAGCATCAAAATGTAGACATTATATTTATATTATTTTTCTGATCCATTCAAGAGTAGACAGAATACTCAAAGCTTCAGTAGACCAGTTATATTATGAATCATAAGATGTTTTCTGCAAAACTGGAAGCAAAATGTCTTTTTAAATCATATATTTGAGATAAAACACCATCAAGACACCTGTAGAAGTAACTTTTTATTTTTATTTTATTTTTTTTTACAATACAAAGGTTTGAGGCTGTCAGGATGTAAGAGACAGGTGTGTGGTCCCCTTGGCTACCATATGAGCCACTGGCAGAAGCTTTAACATTTTTAAGTTGATGTTGGAATTTCAAGCAGTTGCTGCTTTTGGAACTGTTTTAGTTCTGCTTCCATTTAATCAAGCAAATTTCTTTAGATACGTGGAATTCTGCAGCTTGCTTCTTCCTACCTCGGGTTTTTAAATTTGAATGTTGTGTTGCTGGATTAGATTATGTCAAAGATCTGAGTCTTAAATCTGTGTGGTTTGTTTCTCAGCTGACTTTCTTCCTCTGCATGTCAAATCCTGTCTATACAGCTGGTTTGGATTTTAGAGTGTGCACACACTCACACACACACACACACACACACACACACACACACACACACACACACACACACACACACACACACAACCATAAAAATAGCCTTAAATGAGGGCAGTGAGTTATTATTAAAGGTTGCAGCGATATTTTCAAGGTGAGGATGTTTTCGTGAAGAGGAATTAAACTTTCCAGAGAAACTTGAACTTCACCCAAACCTGAACTCGCTTCTCTGCTCTCTACTGACTCACTGCTTCTTGTGTCTGTGTGATTCAGTTGTTATTCTACACCCACTCTTCATTTGTCTGAATCCCACAAAATGATTGCATGATCATGTCCCATGATAATAAGCTGCATTCCTGCACTTCCTCCTCAACACATTACATTCCCTCCCTACCAAACTGCAATTACCCCCAATCCCACACAGCAACTGTCTGGCCACAAACACGCCCAACAAAAAAGTCAGAATTTGTGTCACATGCTCCCAAAATACAGTAGTTGTTGTTGAAGCAAAGTTTGACTGCGGCCCACGTTATTTCCACATCATTATCTTGGATCCAGAATAAACAAACACAGGATAAAGATGATAATTTGGTTCCAGATAATCAGATTTGTTGTTTACTCGATCTTGTCTGCATCATAATTTGTTAACTGGTTTTCTGGAGATGGTTCAAAGTTCTTCATATAAACAGCAAAATGGCCTCTTGGCATTTTTTTTTTTGTGCTTCACTCAAAAATGAATGAAAAGTATCTTTGCCTTCTCATTCAACTGGCATGTCAACATGTTCTGTATTTGAGAAAACAAGATGTGTTGAAATCTGGAAACACATTTGAATTCCACTTCTGGTCATCATCTTCTGCACAATCCCACTGTCAGTGAGGACGTTGGTGTTTTTATTTTCATCAAGTGGAGCAGTGGCCACCAAATCCAGCCTTTCGGGACCACAATCCTGCATGTTCTGGATGTTTTTATCCACTGACTCATCTTTTCAAATCAGGCTCTTGCAAATCTTGTGAGTACGCTGAGAAGGTAATGTAACCGTTTAAATCAGGTGTGTTAGCACAGGGTAGTGGCTCATGAGGACTGAATTTAGTGACAACTCACAAAGTGGTTTAGCCTGAACAGCATAAATTTCATAGATTTAATGTTTATTCATATTTAGAAGTTGACTGATTATGGTTTATCAATGACCAATCCCCATTTTTGAAGAAATCCAGGAAAGCGTATTTGTTTAGCCGTAGTCACCGGCCACTTTTTCAAACTTTTCTCCACTAACCTCCTCTTTTCCACCTTGCTCCTGTCTGCGGTCCTCTTCAGTAGTGTCCCTGCTACCATCTCCTATGATCGCCAGACTCTTTTATCCTTTCGTTCGTTCACGATCGCCCAAGATGCACCGTGGACGTACCTCCCTGTTTGTTTATCTGAGTGGCGCACTGGCCCGGAGCCAAACGACGATTCCAACCAGGGCGCCTCCAGCGATGTTTGTCCGGTCCCGGGAAAACGTCGAAGGAAAAGAGGTAAACGAGCAGGAATCCCGGTGAGAATAAGACTTCTCTTAAAGCGTGGTTTATCTAGTAAACATCGCGTGATCTTCTAACTTCTTGTCCTTTGTTTGGCGACTTGAGCGCCACTTCCGCATTCCCGCCAGGCCGCGTTGCGGCGCGGTTTCTCCGTCCAAGTTTTTTAAAGTTGGTTTATCCTCATTCCTCAGTGGTTTCTCCTCCTGTTCCCTCCATAAGTGGTTTTTACAAACACTGTGGATCTAATCCTGCTAATTTAGAAACCACTGGACCACTAACTCCAACTGTTTCTATAGTTTCTGATTCCTCCACCTCACTCAGCATGGCTCTATTAAACACCCGCTCTGTTAACAATAATTCCTTCCTGCTCAATGATTTAATTCTCTCTAAAAACCTGGATTTTCTGTTTCTGACTGAAGTTTGGCAGCAAACATCTGATTATTCTGCTCTGATTGAACTCTTTTCTTAGCCAGCCCTGGGGTTCTGGTCATGGTGGAGGCCTGGCTGTTGTTCCTTCAGGAGTTTAGTGACTCTATCCTCCACTGTGAAGCTGTCCAGACTGGTGATTGTTGGTGACTTTAACATCCACGTTGATGAGCCCTCCGATCTCTTTGCCATGAATTTCTCCAGCCTTATGGACACCTTCAGCTTTACCCAGCATGTTTCTGGCCCCACACACACCAGGGGGCACACTCTAAACCTTGTTTTTACCCTGAGTCTAAATGCTGTTAGTGTTTGTCCTGAGGACATTTATATTTCAGATCACCATTGCATTTTCTTTAACTTGTCAATTTCTGCGTCCCCACCTCCTGCTCGCAGTCTGGTTAGTTCTCGTTTTCTTAATGAGAGCACAGCTAGCAATTTTTCTGCTGCTTTTGATCCACCCTGTTCTTCTGATAACGACCCAGATTCCTTAACTTCTCAGTTTAATGAGCACTGCCTCTCCATTCTGGACAACGTCTGTCCTGTCAGAACCAGATCAGTTCCTGCAGTGAACCCTACTCCCTGGTTTAATGACAGCCTTCGCAGCCTGATGCGCCAATGCAGAAAAATTGAGCGTTTGTGGAAGAAAACCCATCTCCACGTCCATCTGCTGCACCTAAAGGATCTTCTGACATCCTTTAACTATGCAGTCAGAGACGCTAGGGGTTCCTATTTTTCCAACCTGGTGTCCCAGAGCAAAGGGAACCCCAAGGTGCTGTTTAACACCATCAGCAGCATCGTGTCTCCTGCCTCTCCTACAGCCTCCATCCACTCTGTTGCAGACTGTGAGAACTTTCTGTCTTTCTTTGTGGACAAAGTCAATAAGGTTAGATCTAGCATCTCTCCTTCAGCCTTATCGCTGCCTCTCCCGACTCCAACCAGGCCCATCATCCTAGATAGCTTTGCTCCTGTTTCTTTGCCTGAGTTAACCAAACTAGTTAACTCTATGAAGACCTCTGCATGCCCCCTCCACATCTTACCCTCATCTTTGTTTAAAAGTGCTTTTCAGTCCATCGGTCCCAGCGTGCTCTCTATAATTAATGCTTCTCTGGTTTCTGGTCAGGTCCCTGCTTACTTTAAGAACGCTGTAATCCACCCGCTTCTTAAAAAACCGAGTCTCGCCCCCTCTCTCCATAGCAGCTTCAGACCCATCTCTAAACTTCCGTTCATCTCCAAGATCTTGGAAAAGGTTGTGGCTAAACAACTCACAGCTGCTCTTGATGAACATAACATCTATGATAGCTTCCAGTCAGGTTTTCGTAGAGCTCATTCTACTGAAACAGCTGCTCTTAGGGTCTCTAATGACCTTCTGACTCACAGTGATGCAGGGGACTGTTCTGTTCTGGTCCTGCTGGACCTGACTGCAGCCTTTGACACTGTTGACCATCACCTGCTACTGAGAGGCTCAGAGACTGGGTAGGCCTATCAGGATCTACTCTGGACTG